GATCAAATGGCTAATGGGTAACACTGACCCCCCTGAGTGCAAGCAGGCAAGATGTTTGCCATCTGTCTGTCATTCGGATGCAGATGGCAATGACTGAGTTCCTTCTGAGTGAACACGTGGAAAGCTGTTTTGTTGGCTCTAAACATCTGACATCTGTAAGTTCTTGTACAGTAGTGAAAAGACAAGGTTGACATGGCTGAAATGCATTACCATGTTACTCTAGACACTGGGCCTCCTGGATTTAAGGGAAAAGGAAGCTCTCCTTAAAGTCTGCCATGATTGTATTATTATAGGGAACAAAATAAGAATATCAGTTTTTCATGCCAAATTCAAGAAGTTTGAGAAGAAGGGAATGTTGCTGGCATGAAAACTACTTCCATTAATACAGCATCAACTCTAGTTTGATCCATAAGTAATGCAATTCCTTGATAAAGCACAGTGAAGCCATTCATAATTTTTTTTTTAACTGCTTTAGTTTTTTATTTAGTTTTAATGCTGCCTGAGAAGGTGATTTAGTTACCAGATATCTCATTGTTATCCACTTGTCACCTGTTACTCACTTCCTTTTTGACAGAATTTTCCCATTTAAAGGAGTAGCATGTTGTTAAGAAACGGAGGGATAAAAAGCCAAGATGGGAAGTCTGAATAGAAGACTATTATTGCTTATAAAATCAAAGGATGGAAATAATTTAACATTAAATGGAACTGCTTGCTGACCAAAGATGAAGAGTGGCTACAGGGACTATATGAGTTTTGTTCCCAGACACATCAATATATTTTCCTTTAGACTCTTATAGAGGTGAAAAGGTTTGTGGCAAGTTGCTCTTTCATTCGTTGTATTAAAGAAAAGGGAGTATATAATGATATGATGGAGTTAGCCTCATTTTGTGTAGTTCATGTAGTCTAATGTTCTTATTTTCTTCCATAATGTCTTCACATATTTGGAAGTTGTGATCTTACAAAATAATTTTATAGCTGTTATGTTCCAAAGCTTCTCATCTTACCTTCAGCAGTAACTTTATAAGCCTATGTTTCATTGCAAGTCAATGAATCACACATTCCTGTGTGGTGCAGCCCTTTGGAAAACAGGATTTAAGGCACATTGTGCTTCATTTTCTGAGAAACGTTATCCACTAAGCTCAAAAGGCTGGGATCTGATAGGGAAAACAGTCTAAAACTTCAGTGTTCCCATCTTAATTTGGCTCACTGTGGGATGTTAGTATGTGAAAAGGAGGAGGGCATGTTTGACCCTTTTTTTTTAAAATTATTTTTTTTAAAGCAGTTTGGTGGATGCAAGTTGAGGTGTCCTAGGGAGATTTTCAGGGAAGAGTTATTTGTCCAATGAGAAAGAGGCATAGAATACACTGGTTCAGGCCATTATAGCCTGTGCCATTTGAGGGTGAAGGTTGCAGTGTGGGGAAACCCTAATAAATCCTGAGTCGTGTCCAGCGATGAAGAGGAATTAAGAAAAACAAGGCAAGTAACACTGGTGGCTTGTTTCATCCCTTTACTAAGTGCTCCCTCATGGCTTGCCTGAGATGGATCTAAATTTAGAAAACATTAAAACTGAACCTTTCAGAAGGAGACCTCAGGCACACACAGATGTCTGTGGGATGGCCTCCGTGCCACTGCAGCAGCAGGACAGGTTGCAGTTGCTTCTATCTGGCTCTGGAAGGACGCTACAGCTTCCCTTTGTTCTGCCTCCTTTGTTGCATAGGCACAGACAGCAACCACCATTAGCATTAATGATCAAAAGCAATTACTGAGGTGACAGCTTCAGCTTCAATCCTCATTAGCCTTGTGCCCATCAGACCAAATACCTGCAAACACCTCAGTCACCCACAACCCTGGCCGTTTTGCCTTGCTTCTCACTGTGAAAAGTTAAGGTCTTAATGCCAGTGAACGCAAAGGGAAAGGGAGATGAAGGTACTTGCTTTCTGCCGTTACGGTTGCAGTTTGCTATGGCAGCTTACATTCTCAGCTTTCCATGCCACATGAAAGGCACTCAGCCTTACAAAACCACTACTCAGAATTTGGCTGTCGTTTGCAATTTGTGTTATTGTTAGCTCAATGAAATTATTTTCTAAGCTGCCTTCTTTCTCTTTCTTCCTTCTCGCTTTCTTTTTGCCCCCAAATAAATAACTGAAGTGACACAAAATATCCCAAGTCAATACCTTGTTGTATTTTGTCCACTAATCACTTTGTGAAATTGCATGTAAGTTCGTTTTTCAAGTAGCATTTGGTTTCTGGCTGAAGCTGAAGCAAGCTCCTAATAGAAAGGCGGAGGAACATTCTTTACATAGGTGTGTCTTCCTTCATGATGAGTAATTAAATATTTTTGTCCACATGCTTATTCCCCAGTGCTTCTGATTGCTACAGCTGCTTTACCCTATATTAAACAAATGAGCTCACAGGAAGGACTCCCCTGTCTATAGAGGGACCCCTGCATGGTCATGGGATTTTGACTTTTGTTTCATTGTAAGCTTTTAGCAGAGTGCTTGGCAAATCTGTTTCATCCAGCAGCTTTCTGTATTGAGCATTCTGAGAAAGAGCATTATATTTTACCAGAAAGTAACTTTAATATTCATGATCAAAGAACAGCTTGTGTTTACTCAACAATATTGTCTGTTGGTATCCTCTAGTCAAAACTTTCCAGTATTGCTTACAACAGCCTAGTGACACCTCCTTGCCCATTAGGCAACCGAGGACTTTTGTTTAGGTGGAGATTACCAACATTTTTGAGGGCATGTAACCATCTGTTTCTTCTGCTTCTGAGAGGTTGGAGGAGTTGCTCGTGTTAGAGCTGGAGGGAATTTGAAAAACAGCTACTTGAAGCTAATCATGTTTTTTTCAGTGATTAGCAGCATTCCCAGGGGAATTGAACAATTCCCAGAGGAGTAGGAGTTATGGACAAAGCAAACTTGTTCTCCTTATGTTTTGTCTTAATTGAAATAGGGAATGTTTTTAACAAAAACAAGATGTCTATTGTCGCAGAATCACAGGATTATGGCTTTTATTGATGTGGTTTGTTCTAATACTGATATGTATCTTTATTCTTGTTAAGCAAATCCATTACATCTCCCACATATTTTCATTATAAAGCAAGAAATAAGGACTTCATTGCATTTTAGCATGTTTACTGGAGTAGACATGCAGACTTTTAGTAGTTAAACTGATGTTTATATCAGATATAAAGATCAATAGTTTTCATGGTTACTCTATGTTTTAAACAAAATGCTTTAATGGTGTTCTCTTGAAACACAGCCAGCATCTGACTGTGTGCAGATGTAGATGTCTGCTCAGAAGACAGAATCTGGGTGCGGGGGAGTGGGTGAAGTAAGGCTTGGTGGAAAAATTAAGATACGGTGATCTCCTAATCATGAAAGAGAACTCAAGTGATTCCTCTATTACCATTCAAGAAAACTGACAGGGCTACATGAGACAAATCATAAATCTGGCTGTAAACTCAAAATTCAAGTCTTGTGAGGAGTGGCTGAGGGAGCTGGGATTGTTCAGTCTGGAGAAGAGGAGGCTCAAGGGAGACCTCATTGCACTCTACAACCTCCTGAAGGGAGGTTGTGGTGAAGAGGGATTTGTCCTCTTCTCCCAGGCAACGAGCAGGACACGGGGCAATGGCCGCAAGTTGTACCAGAGGAGGTTTAGATTAGACGTAAGGAAGAACTTTTTCTCCCAGAGGGTGGTCAGGCACTGGAATGGCTGCCCAGGGAGGTGGTGGAGTCGCCGTCCCTGGCAGAGTTCAAGAGGCATCTGGACGATGTGCTGTGTGATATGGTGTAGTGCTTGTGGTGGCAATGGTGATGAGGAGATGGTTGGACTGGATGAACTTATAGGTCGTTTCCAACCTTGTGATTCTATGATTCTATAACTGTTCTTGTCCCTGAGCCTGGGGTGTCTCTTGAACAGGGCAAGTGCTGCAAAGTCTTTGGGCTGCGTTGAGTATCTTAACTTTCTAATCATATTGATGGCCTTGGATATACTGACATTTTAGCTAATTTCAGAGATAATTGATGTCAAATACTTGATTTCATTTTTTCTTCTCTTTTGACTTGGTTGCTGTGAGAGAAGGGTAGAGGTGTAGCTTTTGACTTGGTGATCTGAACAGGATGAATGAGAATATGCTTAAGTGAAGTTGAAAAACAAATCAATGTTATAAATTTGGATGGTTTTGAGGAATGATTTTTTTAGTGTTTTTTTAATGCTGTAAACTTTTTTTTTAATGCGGAAAAAAAATCTGGTAATAGGTGGTGAATCTAAGATTAGGCTAAGAATCCAAGGGTTTATGTGAAGGAAATACAAAACTTACTTCAAATTCAGTTAAGTCATAAACACCTGCAATTTTGTGACTGATGTTTGCGCTTGACCAGATTTGATCTGTTCAACATCCATATAGGGACACAATCTGAGGTAACAGAAGCAAGGAGATAGGTGCACTGATAGAAGGCAATTTTTTTTTTTTTTTTCATTGAATCCCTGGATGAGGAAGAGATTTTACTTTTCTTCATTCTGATTTATGTTTGTGTTGTTTTTGTTTTTTTTCAATGTCACGAATCCCACAAAAAGATGAAAGCATAGCTTGAAATAATCTGAAAGCTGAAATGACACAAAACAGGGCAGTGCAAGTGTGGGCTGAAGGCTTTTATGGAATCTGCTATTTGATATTCATTTTAAAGCTTTCTTTCCAACTTGTTTGTATGTAGTGTTTGTCTTTGGTTGTATGTAAGACCCCCTGCTCTGTCTCTTAGATTTTAGTGTGAGCTTCACAGTGAGCTTTAAAATGTCTTCCTGTATGGAATGTGACAGGGTATTCAAAAATCTCAATACAGCAACTTCTTTTTTAGCAAAGCATGCCTCCCTTTTTTATTTTCTGGATCATTTCAGTGGAAATAAAATCATTTGTATTGTATTTCATATGAAGATGATGCACTGACTTCAAGTATAGTAATGGACTCTTTTGTTTTCTTATGCATATTTTTCTGCAGGTTAAAGTGTGTCAGGAGGAAAACCTACCAAACCCCGAAACACTGTTGAGTAGATAGACTTTCAACATGAACCGTGCATTTAGTAGGAAGAAAGGTAAGCCATATCATTTCTGTTGTGTTGGGAACATAAATATCCTGTATACATTCTTGAAGATGTTAAGAATTATACAAGAAAGTACTTAGGAATAATTACATCTGATCAATTAAGTAGAGATGAGCAACCTTTTGTGATGTATAGAGTAAAGTGTTCTTGACAGAAAAAAAACTTTCTGGATTCTAAGGCTTAAGTTTAATTTAATACTATTTTCTTTACTGAGATGTGTGTGCTTATATAAGAATATATACATATACAAATATACACTTATATGTTTGTGGCTTTTTCCTGGGCTCACCAAAGGATGTGCTAGAGAGTTTTAGAACTTCTAAAGACTTAACAGTGACTTCTGCATTTACATTATGTTCCCTGGGTTCCTGGATAAGCTATTTGAGAAAGCCATCCTTTAATATACTCAGAGTATCTCATGCTGCAGAACAGCTCTTAGCTTTAAGAAGCTATTTTGAGTTTGCAGCAATCTGGAACGCACCCTTTCCAAAAGTATAACAAACCACTGAATATTCAGAGTTGTGCTTCTGGCTTGCTTCTTCTCTTTTCGTGGTCTATTTAGGATTAAGCATACTTTTTAAATGAAGTAAAACAAGTGCAGTTGTTACCTTTTTTTTTCTGTCAACATTTTTGTATTTTATTTGTTTAGAATGTAGGAAATCAGTCATGCTACTTTCTTTTTGTTCTCATGTTTTCTTCTGAAGATTCTTAAGTGTGACACACTAAGCCTGAGCCTCTGCTTCAGTAATCAAGTGAACTCTACTGAACTGAGGCAAAAAATTTTGTTTATGTAGCAGGAATTCCTGCTTTTGTATCATTATCAAAGCTGGGAAGAAAAGGAATCTGTCATGCATTAGAGCATCACGAAGAGATAACACCTCTGCATCCTTTCCTGTCTAGTATATTGATTTGCTACAATGAGACAAACTGAGATAAGCAAATCAGAACACCAGAAGATGTCGTTTGATCACAGAGGAGATAAACATTATCCATAAAGGCTACAAAAACCAATTAAAGATCATTTGATACCTCAGAAGAAAGACAAATGCTTAGGAAATAAACTGAAATCCATAACTGATGCTCCTAAGCACTGATGTAACAAACCTATCAAGAGATCTGTACCTATCGGTTACTTGGTAATGCTGCCTAGGTTATGCCAAAGAATTTGAGAGACTGTTCCAATATCTACAAACTGTGGATTTATTTATCATGGGTGGGAAAGAAGCTTAGGGTTGTAATATTTTTTGTTGTTGCAAATGCTTTTTTTTTTTCTAATGATTTATGATAATTAAAACTTAGCATACCACATTTCAGAAACAGACTAATTCTGTTTTATGGGCTACTTATGGGCTATCTGACTAGCATGCAGAGCTCTGAAATAATCTTTCACTAATTCAACTTGCTCTTGTTGGCAAGGGCACATTTAATCAATTCTGAGGTTGTACCCTCTGGTATCTGAGATCGTTAGTTGGGACTGGATTAATTCCTTTCTGTGCTCACCTGCTTGTGTTAAGAAAATTCTTATGAACTTCACCTGAACTATTGGAATTTCGAGAGCATTTTCTTTGTTGGTTAATCAGGTGGGTTTTTACATAGGTTATTCTCTTTACCCCCAACAAGAACAGCACATTTATCATGAAAGGCAGGCGCAGTGAACTGAAATTATTGTGGCTGCTTAATGATGATTCAGAATTTGAGGGAACTGAAGATTTTGACAGTGGCATCCCCTGAGTTTGCTGTTAGTAATGCAACACGCTTACATTCTCATATTCTAAGAAAAAGACAAATTCCAGATGAACAATTGTCAAGATATATGTATGCTTATATATTGCCATTTGACATTCAGAAAAGCTTGGCTATATCAGTGTTTAATGAGATGTAATCTGAAAAACAAATCTGTTCAAGGATGGGCTCAAAGAGGTTTGGCTGTTGAACTATAATGTATTTCCTAATTTCGCTCCCAGGTCTCAGAGTTACAGTGATTTCCGTATCTGAGTTTGATGAGGTTGATGTGGGTTTCTTTTGTTCACAAGAACATGGATATTTTGAAGAGCTATATATGAATGCAGTGACTTTCCCTGGCAGTTCTCTTTAAAACTAAATTAGCCTCCAGCTGTCTGTGCTGGTAGGATTTGTGCTAATTAGAAGTTTGCAGCAGTTTATTATTGTGGAGCAGTTTGAAACAGCTGTTTCAAACATATAGAATTCCTAGCAGAATTTGAATAGGTGTGATACGTTTACAATAGCTAACGATTATCTGAAATGTGTGGAGTTGGTATCGCCCTTAAATCATCTTCATCACAGTCAGTGTATACCCGTCTTTCAGTACAATGCATGTTCAGAACATAGTAGCTCCTTAAATCCTTGAACCGATTATGCTGCTGATTGTGCTGGCTCAGACCTCCCTGTTCTTGCTCAAAAGTTTGGTTCTTGCTTCACTGCCGTTCAAATGGCACAGGTTTCCTTGTCAAGAAGTGCTCTCCTTATTAACAGCAGAGGTCAATAGGTAAAGCAAAAAGAAAAGCACTAAAAACAACCATATTGAAGGCTGGATAGCAGAGTGTGCATTCACAAAAGAGCTGCAAGGAACAAGTTACTAGTAGGAAAAAGATATGAGCTCTTGGTTAATTAACTGATACCATTCTAAGAAAAAAAAAAACCAAGCTTCCCAAAGACACAGAGTGTGACATGACTGTGTATTGAGCATTACAGAACAATGGATTTGTCCTCAATCATAGTAGTGCTCTTCAGAGATCAAGGCAAGGCTGGATGTGGCTTTGGGCAGCCTGGTCAAGTGGTTGGCAACCCTGTCTACAGCAAGGGGATTGATACTAAATGGTCTTGAGGTCCTTTTCAGCCCAGGCCATTCTATGCTTTTATGACCAGACTCTTATCTTTGATATTCCACTACTGAAGTGGAATTTTGCTGTATGTAGGATGTCTGGAGCAAGTACTTAGTGTAAGTTTATTTCTGAAGGCTATTATATGGGTGTGAAATAGCCATTTCCAATGACTGTAGTGTGCTGAGGGCTCTGTTTCTAAAAATGGGCATTACTGTCATTGACCACATGACACGATACAACTTCTAGCTTGAATATGTGATGTTTATATTTCAGTTGAAATTTTTTTGTAGTTGACTGATGGCTGTTTTAGTTAAAATCCTAACTGATGTAATAAAATTTAAAATTGAATATAAATCAAGCTTTCATCTTTCACCCTAATGATGACAATGAGAAATACAAGAAAATGAGAAGCATGAACAAATTCAGCTTGTTTCAGGGAGTTCTTACCCAGGCAACTATGAATAAATTGAAGTTGCAATATCTGTTCTGATCAGTTTGCTCATATAACATGTAACATTTCATAATTTATGAAATAACATTGAGAAAAAAGTTGATTTCTGGTATAAAGCTGATACCACCACCTGCTGAACTCTCATGTTTCAATATGGGAAAAATAGCCTTTGCTTCCATACCTGTTCCAAGTAAAAGAGCTGACCTTCATGCTGACGTCATCGGAAGTTGGTTGGACTACTAATAGCATATATCAGGGAGAAAACTTTCTATTTTAGAAATATGGTAAGACTTAGTAACTGTACAAAAACATAAATTATGCATTCCATTCCTTGGCCTATAATCAAAAGAGGTTTTATAGATTATTAACAGTCTCTTTCCTTTTCTTAGTTAAAGAAAAAAAAAGCAGACAAAAACATCAAATCAAGAACAGTGTATTGTATGTTCATGTTGCATTGTTAATATAACCATGCTTGTGAAAATATATATCAATCTGTCAGCAGTATCAGGAGCTTTCTTTTGGATTTGATCTGGTTTTGGGTCATTATCTCTGTCAATCTTTTATTTTGTCATTTAACGTCTCGTGTAGTAGTAGCACAGTTGCTTTCAAATAATGCAACATGGAAAGTGACAGACTGAAGTCAGTTCTATCCTTTAAGTATTCATCTTCGTGATTTCAGTCTTCTACGTAGGCAGTTTAGGAGTAATTCTTTGTAACCTCATGTAATTATTTGTAAGTGACCTTTGTAACAGCTGTTTTGTTCAACTTTGGAATTTTTCTTCCACTATTAGTGTATTGTTATCTGAACTGAATTATTATATTGGTCTTAATTTACATGGTAGTGTGTACATGAAATCTGTATACACAACCAAAAACATGAGTTATGTTGTGGGTTTTGTTGTTGCTGTTGGAAGGGGTTTGTGTGTGTGTGTGTGTGTGTGTGTGTGTTGTTCTTCACATTTCTCTCCTTTTTGGTGAGTGGAGGGAACATCTCCCAAATAAGCCCAGAACACTTGTCTGGTTCTGTGGATTTTCGTTCAGTCATTAGTTCAAGAAATGTTGTATCTATGAAACGGAAATGAGCTAGCGTTGTTTGTGTTCTGCCACATTGGATATGAGAAAGAGGCACAATTGAGTGTGGGAGAGCTGTAATTCAGACTTTCTGGGATAAAAATATTGCAACTCTGAGTTTCTCAAAATATTGCTAAGTATGTAGCTCCCTGTATCCACATCTGCTAGATTTAGCCTAGAATTATGGTGTGTGAAATCCAAACAAGATTACCTCGTTTGTGGAGGACAACAAATGACAGCTGAGTGTGATTCATTCTTACACCACAGTGATCCTATTTCATCTTAGAGTAAATGTCAGTCTTAGTTTACACGAAGTTCAGTTCCAACGCTGTTGTTGGGTGCAGGAATCTGAATTTGCTAATGGTGGGTTTCTTTGGCTTATGAAGGTTGGTGATTGCTGCCAGGTTATCAGCTCATGAGATGTAGATGGCACCCATAATATTAAAGGGAATGTATTGAAGCAATTGCTTATCAGGAATTGTAAGTTTCAGCAATATCCTTTCAGTGCAGTGTCTTTTTATGAGTCTTGTCTATGAAAATGCAGACAGTTGCATTTAATTGTCAGGGTTCATATAGGATGCTCTTTTACAAGAGTGGACTGTCTCTAATGTGACCTTTATCTGTAC